TTTAAGCATGATGTTTGGGCATTGGTTCTTCTTAATAATTTCCTAAGTAGATGAGACTATGAATCATTTCTCTTTCTTCTAAAGACTGTTCTGGCTTCTAAGGAGTGTTCTAGCTTTTTCTAAGACAAATTTGTTTTTTATCTGGCAGTTTAAGTAAATTAAATATTTTTTAGCCAATACCATAATTCAGGTGCATTAGTTCTTTGGTCATCCTTATTCATTGCTCATATTTAACCCTGTGTGTGAGGCAAGTGAAAATACTGTGGCTTCGTCTGACATACTTTGGGAATGTTGCAAGAGGGCCTGGTCCTTGGAGAGGGACATCATATTTGACAGAGTAGAGGGACTGTACAGGAAAGGAGACCATCAATTTGATGGATCGATTCTGTGATTGAGGTTTTGGGAAAGAGTGTGTTTGAGATGGTGAGTTTGGCACAGGATGAGCGGTGTTTATTGCTCTTGTACATAGGATCACTATGACTAATGGCACATATAAACAATAAGATGTTGAAGTGTATCTAAATAAAATCTTGGATCTTGAACAGACCTGTAGGGTGGCTGTCAGCAAGAATCCATTAATTCATTAGATGTATTTAATATTTTTTTCATTGTGTTTAGGCTCTGAGTGTATTTCACTAATAGACCTTAATTTTAAAATTTCATTTATGAAATCAGCCTTCACATTAAATTTTCCATGTAAGTAGGCTAGTTTATCAATCCATAAACTAAACTCAGTAAAGTCGTCTTTTATCAGCTCATAAAGAAACCTACAGTTCTATTTCAGAGAGTGTGTTGGGTGCTTGGAACTTCTGAGAGCACAACCAGCTGACTTAGACATGTTTTCAGCATCCTTTGGCAGCCCCAAGAGGAGTCTCATAAAAGAGACTGGATAAATTTGTACCAATTATATGATTTTATGGCTACAGATAAATGTACATTAGATACTAGCTAAACTAGACTTACATGCTAGGTTTATAATTTTTAAAAGATACTCCTTTAATTAAAGGAAAAAGAAACAAGCCCTTTTTCTTCTTTTTAAAACTTATTGTATTAAAACCTTAAATTTTACCTAGATTCTATTTGTTGTTTTCACTTTTAAAGCTAATCTTTGATAAAAAGTTGGAAAAATGGTGCCTGTCTTCAAGTTAAAAATTTTAAGGTCTTATAGAATATGTGGATAATGTGATTGGTTAGAGAATAAGAGAAAGATAATATGATTAGCAAAATGCAAATGGTACTTAACAATTTTCTAGCTTTCCTATCTAGATAGTTTTTCATTATTTAAATTATTATTCATTGCTTCACACACTCTATCCTTCCTGCCCCTCCCCACCTTTCTTTGTAAGGCTATTGATTGTAAAACACTTAGTTTCTAATCAGATATTCTCTTCAAATTGTCTTTTCTTTCACTGATTCAAGTGTTGTGTTCATTATTTATCCCTTCTTTTCTCACTCTTCCCCTCCCCTGTCTTGGTCTTATTCTTACAATACTGGCCTTATGCAGTATTTTTCCCTTTGTGACAGAGATAATTCCCTCAGCATGATGTTTTCAAGAGATATATTTTTAAAGAAAGATTTAAAAAAAAATAAGTAGAAAGACATAATTGAGGCTCAATATCAAGAAGACAAAGATTCTCACCACTGGACCAATTGGCAGTATTAGGATGGATGGTGAAAAGATTGAGATTGTTAACAGCTTTAGTTTGCTTGGCTCCACAGTCAACACTCTTGGCACCAGCACCTAGGAAATTACAAGACATATTGCAGTGGGAAGGTCTGCTGTTAGAAACCTCTTCAAAGTACTGAAAAGCAATTGTCACTCTGGAGACTAAGGTGCACCTGATACAGGCCACGGTCTTTGCAATCACTTACTATGCATCAGAGAGTTGGACAATGAGTAGGGAGGATAGAAGGAGAATTGATGCCTTTGAGCTGTAGTGTTGGAGAAGAGTATTGAATATATCATCGACTGTTAAGAAAATGAACCGGTTTATCCTGGAGAAGATTAAACCAGGCTGCTTCTTGGAGGCAAAGATTCTGAAATTCATCTGACATACTGTGAACACATTGCAAGAAGGGACCAGTCCTTGGAGAAGGACATCGTGCTTGGGAGGTTGGAGGGACAGCGCAGGAGAGGAAGACCCTCTCTGAGATGGATTGATTGAGTGATTCGAGAAATGTGTGTAGGTGTGTCAAAGGCAGTGAGATTGGCACAGGATAGAGCAGAGTTTAGTGTTGTACACAGAGTCTCTGTGGGTTAACAGGCGACTCGATGGCACATAATAACAGCAACTACAGAAAAAAGTAATAGTTTTGGATGGAAGAACCTGTAGGTTATACAAGTTGATTCTGTTCCACAAGGGCTTGGCAAACCAGCGACACTGCAGAACTTGGATTCCCTGCCTGCTTGAGAAACAGGGCAGTATTTGCAAATAAATAAGGACTTACTGGAATAAAAACATAATACAGATTCTAATTCTCTTAAATAAACCTGGACCACCAACTGTGCTTATGCTCCAGTGTATTATACCATCCGTCTGCTCAGTCATTTTTGTTCTCATGAGACACAGAATATTAGACACGATACATGACATTTCTATTTTACAAATACCACAGGATAAGGTCCTTGCGAATGATAAAAGTCTTTTTTGGGGGGGAGGCATCGATTTAGAAAGTTGAAATATATAAGGAAATACATTAATGAATAATACACATAAATATCAACTTAATTTTGCCAAATGAAATAAGAATTTCTCTCTAGATTAACAGTACTTCTATGTTCAAACAGGCTATGAAATCAGAATAGTTTCAATAGTGCTCAAAGTGGCAAGAAAATTATTCAGACTTTCTATCACAACTATAGTATAATTAAGTTCTTTATGACTTCAACCATTAGACTTTATTATAAATTGAATAATCTTCCACATTTTAATATTAAATATTAATTAATTTAATTTAATTTTCTATTAGAATAATATTTTCAAAAAAGAATAATATCGTCATATGATCTCTTAAAATGACCTTCATTATTTTGTTTAAGCATCATAATATTTTGTAAGATATGTAAGATAGGAAATATTTTACAGCTAAACAAATTAAACAGAGAGAGTTGACGTGACTACTTAAGATCATATCCTCATTTGATGACAGTGAAGGATGATGCTCTTTATATCTTTAGAGACCTTAACAAGGTATTCCTTTAAAATCTGGGGAGAGTCATTTGGTAATCTCCTGGTTGCCAAAGTATTCTTCATACTTTCCCTTGGGATGTTGCCTACAATAAACAGAAGGGATCTGTGCCAATTTAGGACACAATAAAGAAAAATTTGGGTGTGAAAATTTTCATAATCCAAGTTCAGAAAAGCTTGAACAAACTCATGGGAAGTTTACATGGGAACTTCTCCTCAAGCTATCAGGTTTGGAGGCTGAGTTCAAATATTTCGCTATAAATTTTACAGAACTTGGAAGGGAAATAAAACATACAAGGTAATTAGATGCTTCATGTTTTTAAAAGAGAAACCACAAACTAAGAAATCAACAAACCCCAAATGCCAGGTCTCCTTTGGATTTGCACATTTTGTACTTCTCTTTGTTTTAACAAAACAAATTCATATTCTCAGCAAATAAAAGTTTTATGTGAGCATTTAAAATAGACCTTGTTATAATGATGGTTTTTGCCGTGTCAGTTATTTTTCCTTTTTCATGTGCATTTTGCCTAGATAGACATTAACAGGCAACAGCTTTTGGGTTGCTCTATGTCAGTTGGCATTAACTTAAGGAACTTGTGCCTCAACAAATTGTAATTTGATGTTTATATTCTGAGATAAATGCTTATGAATAATTCCTATAGTTTTAACATTTAATAGCAGTTCTTCTTAAATATGTCTGTCATAATATTTTACTGATCATATTTACATCAATAAATTTCTAATCCATTTGATATGAAATTGGTTTAAATCTGATTTATTGTACAGATAGAAGGTAGCTAACCAGGTAGTTATTGTTCAGCATACCACAAATGATACGAATATGTAAATAACATTAATTGCTTATTTATTTTTTACCATATCTAGTAATAGAACACATGTCTTTGTTATGCCATGTAGAATTTTTACTGTGGTTATTTTAAGTCACTTTACACTAATATATTTTTTTTCCTCTGCTAAGCAATTTGAATGCATACTTGCTATTCTAGAAGACACATCTGTTTTGGATGCTTACAGACCAGATGGGGTTTTTAAAGCTAAATAACTGTTGATTTATTACATAAAATTGTTTATTTGAAAATCTGAAAAAGTGTTTTTTTTTCTGTTTTGTATCTTAATAAGTATGTATTTATCAAGATTTTTTACAAGTGCTATCATATTTAATCATCATAACAAATATTTAGCTCTTTCATTGTTATCCTTTTTACAGATGAGAAAATTGAGGCTTACAATGACGTGTACAACTAAGAGGTGGGCAGGCCCACTAACCTCTGTCATCTCTGATAGCCAGCTATTAACAGAGATAATATTTTGTGTCCTCAGATGATTTTTCCATTTAGCATGATTTGTTCCTTAAAAGTGGATTAATGCTAAGTTTACAACTTTGTTATTTGACAACATGGAACTATAAAGAGTATCATGACAGGGTTTTAGGGTAAAGATGCTACAACTTGAAAAATCTATCATGACAGGGTTTTAAGGTAAAGATGCTACAACTTGAAAAATCTACTGCATTGCCAAGGGCCCAGCAAAGTAGTGAAAGCTCTGGGATTAGATGTCAGAAGTTTAGGCACTTGAGAAATTTTTAGGAATATTTTATGTGACTGTTTTATTCTGGATCTCAAGCCTGAGTAATTATTTGTATGAGAATTTATATGACATTCAATATTTATTTGACATTTATACTGCATTTATTTATATGGCTTTTCATATTTCACATGATATCTCTTATATATAAAGCAAATCTTATACAGTAAGTAATGTTTTCCCTTTTCCTTCTTTTTTAAAATACAGTGGGATGCATCCTGATTTCATCCTGGAGTTCCAGTCTGTGGCTTGGCTTTCTCACCGTCTCATCTGTCTTCGATCTGTGCGTTAACTAAAAATCTAGGGACGACATGAGGAGATTTGTTTACTGCAAGGTGGTTTTAGCCACTTCGCTGATGTGGGTCCTTGTCGATGTCTTCTTACTCCTCTACTTCAGTGAATGCAACAAATGTGACGACAAGAAGGAGAGATCTCTGCTTCCTGCGCTGAGGGGTGAGTGCTACAGAGGAGACTGGTATTTTTCCGCAGATGAGAAGGGTAATGACCACTAACCAACTGTGAAAAATTTATGTGAGAGTTGTTTCCACTTACTGAGTCAGAATAGCATTCAGCAGGTTTGTTAAGAGACACTAAATTTTGGGAAGTCATTATGGTTTTCTTGGCCATAGATACAAATCTTCCTTGTTTGTTTTTTTTTTTTTTTAAATTTTCCTATTCTTATCATGTCAGGGTTTTGTGACTTGTAAGAGAAGACTTATTTGGTGATGATTGCACAGAATTTTAAATCCAGGTCCACAGAACGCAAAAGTTTTAAATGTCAAGCACATAACATGAAAATAAATAGCCTACAACAATGAGAGAAATAGGTACTGTAGCAAATTGGAACTTTATCATGCCTCTAAAGTCCTAAAAGAATTGCAGTTAAAAAATAGACATTTCAATCTACATGCGGAGCAGATTATCCTGGAGGCTGGGCTCTATGATGAGAAATGTGGCATCAGGATTGCAGGTAGACTCATCAACAATCAGTTTTACAGATAAAACAAGCTTGCTTGCTGAAAATGGAGGATAACCTGGAGTGCTTGCTGCAGAAGGTCAAGGACTTCAATATGGATTGACGCTCAACATTAGGAAAACAATGATTCTCACCTCTGGGCCTCATTGTCAGCATCATGATCAATGGTGAAGAGATTAAGATTGTTAATGGCTTCCGTTTGCTTGGCTCTACAGTTAACAGTCTTGGCAACAGCAGCCAGGAGATTAAAAGATGAATTGTGTTGGGAATGACTGCTGTCAGAGATCTGTCTCCAAAATACTGAAGAGGAATAATGTCAGTCTGGAGACTAAAGTGTACCTGAAATAGTCCATGGTCTTTGCAATTACTTGCTATGCATCAGAAAGCTGGACAATGATTAGGGATGATAGAAGGAGAATTGATGCCTTTGAGCTCTGGTGCTGGAGAACAGTACTGAATATACATACCATGGACTGCTAGAAGAACAAACAAGTTCATCCTCGAGAGGATGAAACCAGGCTGCTCCTTAAAGGCAAGGATTCTGAAGCTTTTCTCATACTTTGGGCATGTTGTGAGGCAGGATCAATCCTTGGAGAGGGATGTCATGATTGGGAGGATGGAGGGACAGTGCAGGAGAGGAAAACCCTCGATAAGAAGGACTAATTTAATGACTGTGATAATGAGTGTAGATGTGTCAGAGACAGTAAGATTGGCACAGGATAGAGCAGGGTTTAAGGCTGTTGTACACAGGATTGCCTTGAGTCACAGGCAATTTGACAGCACATAACAACAAAACACACATGTACACACACACACACACACACACACACGTTGGTGATCAGATTTAACAAGTGGGCCACCAATTTGTTAGTCTTTTTTGTTACGTGCAAATGATAATTTTGAGTAGATTAAAAAGCCACTTCACCTCAATATTTTCCTTTGTTGGAAAGCTGCTTCAGTGATTAAGTGAGAGTGAATTCTAAAAAACAAACAAACAAAGAAACCTAAAATAATGATTTAAGTACAGATTTATTAGTTTCAGACCAGGTATGCATATGTTGCAGAGTGGATTAAAATAATTTCCTTCATGTGTTTATTTATGCATTAGAAATAGAAAAATAATTGTGTTGTTGTTGTTGTTATGTGAAGTCAAGTCGCTTATGACTTGTACAGCAGCCCTAAACCCTGCTCTATTCCTTGCCAATCTTATTGTCTTTGACGCGCCTATCCCCATTATTCCAGTGACAGAATCAATCCATCTCATCAAAGGTTTTAATCTCTTGCACTGTCCCTCCACCCTCCCAAGCTTGACGTCTCTCCAAGGACTGACCCTTCCTTGCAACATGTCCAAAGTATGGGAGACGAAGTGTCAGAATCCTTGCCTCCAAGGAGCAACCTGGCTTCACCCTTTTAGGATGAACTTGTTTGTTCTCCTAGCAGTCCATGGTATATTCCGTACTGTTCTCCAGCACCAAAACTTAAAGACATCAACTCTCTTACTATCATAATGTCCAGCTCTCTGAAGCATAGCAAGTAATGGCAAAGACCTTGGCCTGTATCAGGTGCAACTTAGTCTCTAAACTGATATCGTTGCTCCTCAGTACTTTGGAGAGGTCTCTGAGAGCAGACTTTTCCAATGCAATTCATTTCTTAATTTCCTGGCTGCTGGTACCAAGAGTGTTGATTGTAGAGCAAAGCAAACTGAAGCTGTCAGCACTCTCAATTTCTTCACCATCTATCATGATGCTATCAATCGGCCCAGTGGTGGGAATCTTTGTTTTCTTGACATTGAACTTCAATCCATATTGAAGGTTGCAATCCTTGACCTTCTGCAGCAAGAGTTTCAGGTTCTGAAATGTTTCTAGTCAATACATGATTTTGAAAATATTTGAGATTATTTAAAATTAGTTTACTACTCATTTAATAATCTTGTGATGTGGTTTACAGTTTTAATTCTCTGCTTAACAATTTTTTTCTTCATAAACCCAACAAAAGGATTAACCTTAACTGAATTCTAGTTGAAATTCTTTAAGAAAGTTGCATCTGAATTACTAAATTGATAATTTATTTAATTAACATAATTTGATTTTTTTAAAAGATTATTTTGAGGTTATTGTTAGTAAAAACATAACTATATCATACTGATCATGTCTAGATGTCTGACGTTCATAGAAGCACAATAATAATTTCAAAAAATCATCATGGACATGTATATTTGCTTTGGATTGTGATTATGCTGTGACTAAATTTGAGAGCCTTTTGAGTATCTTTGAGGTTGGGTTTTTTTGTTTTGTTTTGTTTTTTTCTCTCCAGAATGGGCCTGTGTCTTTGTAGATTTTTCCTTGTACAAAGAGTTAAGAGGTAGTACGTTGGACCTGAGTGAAACTTGACTCATTTTGGTAGTTTATATGCATTTTTTATGCCTTCATACTACATTTATTCAGAGAGGAGACTTTTATGAGTCTATCAGTTTTTGATAAATGAGCTTGGGAATTGATTTGCCGATCTTTGGTTAAAATCCCAGAATAAATCAAGCTTCTCTGCTTCTTTGTTAGAAGCAGTTGAGCTACTGCTTGGCTGAAAGTGGAAATGTGTTTTGATTGATTATATCATTTTGGAATGATCACTTTGTCATGTCTTGAACAGAGACATTGAGATTGGTCAGAAATACATGTGCATGCAAACACACAAATATAATATTATGAACTGATTCAGCAAAACTGTGACAGAATTTTCTGCAAGTATGTTTTTGCTGATTTATATTTTTAATGTTCAGTCTTAAATCTCAAAATGAGAGAGTTAATGATTCAATGATTCAAGGCAAAATTAAAATTTTTTTCTTGTCCTTAATACTATAAGATTAAACTCTATTTTTAACCCTTGTTTAATATACTTCTTTTTTTAAGTAAAAAGTAGACTTCAAAATTAAGAAAACTATTTTTCTTTTTTAATTTTTAGTATATTACTTAGGGATCTGCACCCTGAATTTAAAAAAAAAACAATTTTTATTTTTTTTATTACAGGGTGAAGATGCTGTGAAAAATGTAGTTGATGGCCAGTTTTTTATGTTTCAAATACACTTTGAGAAGAGTTTTTGACTGAAAAAGTTGACCGTTTTGGACCTATATGTCTCTTGATAAAACAGAGGTTTTGAATTAGAGATTGTTAAGTATCCCTTCTTTTTTTAAAAAAAAATATTAATTTTAATGAATATTTACAGAGATTTTGGCTTTCCATTCATTCATTGTTGCGCTTTAGTCCCTGCCCCACCCTCGCCCCTGTTCGTTCCTCTTGAGTATCTCTTTTAGTTCTAAAGTGTAGACAATTCCCAGACACTGAGAGTGAGCCCTAGTGGTATGGTCCATAAAAAGTTGAACTCTTAGTTCAAAATTGATCCTCTCTGGTGATTTGAATCCACCAGTACCTCTTAGGAAAAAGATGGACTGTCTTCTCAGGTACAGTGTATGCCTCTGAAAACCTGCTCAGGGATCTGCTCTGAACTGGTTCCAGCTCAAGCACAGTGAGGGTTTTATTTGTAAACACTCAGGATTAGCATATATGATGAATTAATTTTTGCATAATTTTTTTGTGTGTGTCCAGTGATACGAAGTTGTGCTGCAATGCCAAAGGCATGCAGTGTGACTCCACCAGATTTCCATGGGAGAAGGGTGGGCGATCTCCTCCCATGTGAATAACTGCATCTGGAAACCTATGGGAGGGTCACAGCTAAGGGTTGGTTCCAAGTCTATGGTACATAAAACCAACAACAATACAGCAATTTTATTTATCTGGGGTGTGTGTGTTTTCATCAAAAGTGACTGTATATTGGGGATATAAAGGTCCTGAGAACCCTCTTATTTTGGAAGTTATGTTGTTGTTGTTGTTGTTGTTGATTGCCTTCGAGTTGAGCACAACTCATAGCGACCTTATGAAGAAAGGCCTGAAGCCCTCTATAACTATCGATATTTATCAAAGTTCATAGAGTTTCCGGAGGCGAGTTGTTTGGGAAGTGGATGCCTTTCCTGCTTCCAAACCTGTCATAGAATGTTACTGGTTGAGGTGCCTGTGATGCATAGCGACCCTATGTACAGCAGTTCTAAACCCTTCTCTGTTCTGAGCTGTCTCACTAATTCCAACACACCACTGACCCTCATTGCTCCTGTTACTGTATCATTCTATTACATTCAGGGTTTTTCTCTTCTGAACTGTCCGTTCATTCTTCCGAGCATGATGTCCTTCTCCAAGGATCAGTCTCTTCTGGCCACTTGCCCAAGTAAGTGAAGCAGAGCTTCAAATTCCTAGCCTCCGACGAGAGAGATCTATTTGTTTTCTTGGCAGTCCATGGTATGTTCAAGACTCTTTTCCAGCACCACAACTCAAAAGCATTTATTCTTCTTCTGTCATCCTTAGTCATTGTCCAACTCTCTGAAGCATAACAAGTAATTGAGAAGACCATGCCGTGGATTAGGTGCACCTT